TACAGCCCGTTTGTGTGAAAAAAATCCTTCCAACTTCTGGATCACTGGGGATGAGTGTCTCGCCTGCTCAACTGAGTTTGATAACGGATAACCTTAAACTTTAGGATTAAAAGGACAAATTACAATGACAAAAGRGCCCGGTTAAAGAGGGCACTTTTAATCCATCTTTGTAAGAGTTACAAAGAAAGACCGTGTACCCTTTATGCCTAAAGATTAATCCATGATCATTTGCTAACGTCTTTAACCACAGGGAGCCCAAGCAATGACTTTGAAACCTATAATAGTTAAAAATAAAATATTACTTTAAAAAATGGTCTACTTTTATTTCATTATAATTATAAATGGGTTTTAAAAAATATCCTCATGCTCGTGGTTCCACTTGAGTTTTGATCATTTTCTGACGTCATTTTCATTGTCGATAAGCGTACAGACCATAGAAAAGCGAATTCGATTTGTTAAATTTCCTGTTTGYAATAATCATCTGGCCCCATAGCCTACGATAATTATATCCTATATTTTTATAAATTTACAAGAAATTTGTAACTTAGATGCCTACTTTGATAGTTATTCTGAAATGTCTGAAATGGTAGTCATGTGACCGGTCAGTGCTTCAAATGAGTTGTCTACGGATGGGTTTTTATAATTATAGTAATATTGCAGATACAAATAATGCAGATGTTCTTCTAGAATTGGAAGTCGTATTCAAATGTGTAGAAATTCAAACAGTTGAAGTGCTAACTGTGCTATCGGTGACAGTTTMACCATCGGTCGTCATTAATAATTCATGAATGAGATATAGTAACAACATCATTATTATTCTACATCTGTCAAAACAGTTATTGCTCACTCTTTCCAAAATAGCGGCAGAAAGACTGCTCAAGTATAATTGAATTTGTGTATTTTGTTGAATATTGTCAAAAATATGAATTTCAAATGGCAAAGTTGTCTATTCAACAGTGAAATGTGCAGATGGGGACGGAAAGAGACCTCGGTATTGATAATATGGCTACAACACTGCTTGTATGCTTTTTGCTAATGGTTTCAGAAGAAACGCAGGTTAAGTTAGTTGTCTAGACTATACTAGATGAGTTAACCTAAATAAGGGAAGAATAAAGGCGACGATAAGAAACAATAGAGTTGAATATCATAATATAAAAATACGCAGTCAAAGACTGCATGTGACTCAGGCCAAAAATTATAGGCCAATGAAATGTGTTAAAAATGTAAATAAGAATTGTACTCTGATAGAGTTAAAAAAAGGTTATTGATAGTAGTGGTAGCTGTAAACTATGAAAAGTTATGTGGACCACTCTTAATAGTAAATAGTTATGAAGTGAATAGATAGACATTTATTTTTAAATGCTGTAAAATACTAGTGAAATTTATTTRAAAATAATCGAGTGAAGGTATCCTTTAGCAGCATGATTGTGATCAGAAAAAGAATGTATACAAATGTAGCCAAGGCTGCTATAATGTTGAAAATGTATATAGTGAATCCAAGCTTCCCTGATGATGCTGTAGTACAGCGAAAGCTTGGATTCTGCAATATATACATTTTCAACATTATAGCAGCCTTGGCTACATTTGTATACATTCTTTTTAAAAATAATGTTCACCACTCATTGGCAAAATAGTCAAAAAGAGCAATGAAGTCAGTTTTTTTAAAATGAAATTAGAATAACATGCATTTTAACAACATTGCATTTTAATAACATGCACACATTTATAACACTATTAACTCAACTTTAAACAAAGCCAAACTTTACAAGTTTTACAGCATTTTTAATTATGTTATTACATGGAATAATGTTGAGAACTTTATCACTGTATAAAAAGATTGCTATTCTTCGTTTGCAGGTACGTCATGAAAAAAAAAATTGAAAATCCAAGTATGTATTTTCGCCTTTGAAGAGCCCAAGCTAGGCTGAGGCATTTGTGTACTTTTTAGAAATATTTAAAATATAACAAAAATAAACATCTCMACCTGTGTATTGTGTTTTTCTTTACATTTCTGTGAAGTTTCAGGCTATTTCCTTCAATTTTGAGCGATTTATGCCTGTGGCCTTTTGATTATTCTTATGAAGGCTATTGAAGTAAAAGCTATTTTTGAAGTGCCCCAGGGTTTCGGAGAGCAAAATGCGAGATATTTTTTTTAAAGCTTTTTGCTTTTCTAATGAACGATAAACCTATATATTCTTTTAAAAAATGCCGTATTTGTGCTCTTTTTCGGCCTCTTCATTTATAACATATCMAAACATCTAATATAAGACATCTAAGCAAATGTCACCCGACGGTATGGCAATAAGTTTGATATGGAAAGTGACGATATACGATCAGAGGTAGTTTACTTCAAAGATGAGATTTGAAAGGAATTATGCGCATCATCGTGCTCTTTTCGGTGAATTATGCGCAATTCCCCGCGCAAACGCGCAACCCAAATCGATGAACATTCCCTTATGATCACTCGGTTTTGTATATATGAGCGTGCTGACCATAGCGTGGCATTTTCATCATTTTAGATAAATAAATATGAAAAGTTTAAACCCACTTAGTGACTTCTTGTGCGCTTTTTGAATAGCACATTATCGATTGATTGATTAGTTGTTTACTTTATTAAACAGAACATTTCACTTCCACAGTATAATCATATACAAAATAAAAACCATCTGATCTAYCCATGAATTCAAAACATAGCCGGGAAGTCATCTACAAAACCTGCGCTATTTTATTGTGGAAGACAAAACCTTCAAAATTTATATCATAAAATAGAAACTAAAACATAATAAACCCAGTTAAAAATATAAACCCGAATTAAAAGATGCTTTACATATACACTGTCTAAAAAGGTCTACTAACTCGTTATCTAATGAAGCTTTTCCCCGATTTATTTCAAAGTGCAAATGTTAGAACGAAAATTACGGGATGCAATGAAGAAAAAAGGGRATGCATGATAAATCGGAGTTCAAAAAAACAGTCTATCAAAACCAAGGAAAAATACTTGACCTTCAGACAGTTTCATATTTATCATACTGATGAATATTTACATTAATTAAGTGTCGCCTTGCTAAGAGTAGTAATTGTAGGCGTGCGTCATACTGATGTCAATTTAAGCGCGAACCAACAAGACACAAGTAGTAAACCAAGTGAGAACATCAAATGTTTCATTAGATATTTCTTTCTCRCTGACTCCACAACTAAACTTGGTCACTTTCTTGGGGCTTTTTCGCTCTCCTAAATGGAATTAGGTTGTCTATTTTTATTGTCGGGGAAGCTGATAGTTCTTCTTGCAACCGTTSTTTCCTTTCCTGACCATCTTTTTGATATATTGCATCTATCGTCCCACAGCATGTTTGACAAAGGTTTTGAACCTCTATTTCTGTCAGGATATATTTGAGAAGATTTGTCTTACTTATTTCAATATCTGGTGAATGATAGAAGACATTTTTAAATTAAAATTAGTACAACCTTTACAGGAGTATGTACTATAAAATCAATTCAAATATACTGAAGRAAAAAACACAAAGCTATTTACCTTCAGTTTTGTTCTGCATTGCTTTCAATATGTTTGGCTTGTACCAGAAATACTCCCAGAGGACTCCAACCCCTGTCATTGCACTGAAAAGAGCGATTAATATGATGAAAAATTCATAGTCTTCAAACAGGCTTCCTGCATGTTCGAGGTCATCGTTTGCCTTGGTTGAGTTGGAAAGGGCCTGTTGAAATAATATCACACATTAGCTACCAATTCAATTACAGCTTACTATCCGATCCGCACTACACATGAAGCTATCATGGATTTGATGCAATTGATCTGAGGCAATTGATCAAGAATAAGCAATGGCCTACTAGCGGTATCAGAGTTTGGCGAACTTATTTCCAAAAGAGCTAGCCATAAAGTATATCTACTCAAGGGCGTGTCCCGCAGGGGGCTGATTAGGATGGTTAGCAAATGCAGACCCACTTTTTGGAGGTTCGGAAGAATAGAACTATATATAATGGAAGTAGCCTGCGTGGCGGCTCTAGGGGAGGGGGGAGGGGGAAAACGGAAGGGGAGGGGATGGGGAGGTGGAGCAGAAAAGAAGAGCTCTTCTTTTTTCCGCTCCGCCTCCCCACCCCCTCCCCTTCCGTTTTCCCCCTCCCCCCTCCCCTAGAGCCGCCACGCAGGCTATAATGGAAGGCATCATTCTGATTTGCAACTCAATTATTAGTTCTCAAGTACGGTAGAAGCTATAATTACAAGCTGAGGTTGAGGAAGCTCGACCAGAAAGACTTTCCACAGTCGAAGTGTTTATGTAGTACAAACTCAAGCACTGTCCCTACTMCCTACTTTGGTCTGTACTTTCTAATACGATCTACACTACTAGTCTTGGCCCCCAAAAACAGTCTACTGCAATATAAACGGGTCATGTGCGATCCCTTGCCCTGGTTCAGAGTTGTTAGAATGATGTCTTCACGTATTGCTAGGAAATAATGTCTTTTTTGTAGTCCGCAATCAACATTGCCGAGGGGGAAGGGGTATGGGACCTAACAATTGTAGGTGTCTCATTCTTTTTGCCGCAGAATGTAGATACATTGAGATAGTATTCATTCTAGTGATATAAAGACAGTCCTTTTAAAATTCTAAACCTAATMCAATCATGGACAAATTATTAACGGACACCTATGTAATTTAACATACACTGTGCATCACAATTCTCTAGATTTCGGACAACTTTACTCCTCCCCTCTTATAATTCTAAACCTAATTCCTGCTTCCATTAAAKTCTAGTCAAAACTAAGGTGATGGCGGTCTTAACTATATGAGGTCGTACCAGATACATGTAACTACATTAATGAAAACAGTCTAAGACTCTAATACTAACATATCGTAAAGTACAAGGTCATAAGAAATTCATCTAAATTTCACAAATACAAAATTTCAAATTCTGTTATAAAAAATAAAGAAATTGAATCTGAATGGGACTCGTTCTGCATAAAAAACAACTAAAGCAGCTTTCATTATCTTCGTTCACTTGCCTTTATTAGTAACAACTATAATAACCCTTAAAACAACAGGCCCGTAGGATGGGAGGTTCGGATGTCTAAATTGTTCACTTGTTCAAAATTGGATCACTTTGAAAGTAGGGGGCAATATTGAGTTGGAAACAAAACAAAAAGGTGCTGCAACGGTTTGTCGATATTATCTCAATTCACCTCAAAACGGGCCTCAAAAATAAMAAACTTACTTSCATTATGGTTCCTTGGAAGGCGCTTCCTTCAACCTGCCGTTCAATACACTGCTTGACAGCGTCGCACATACTGACGTCTGGCATAATAAGTCTCATTCCAATGAAATGATTGAAGTCGATCATCTTTCCAATTTCTATTGTTTTCGAATCTTCACCAATGATCTCTTCACTGCTGACTGCTGCGTGCTTGTCTATTAACAGTCCCTCGACTTTCTCTGCTTTTAGTGCTGCCATCATAGCCTCAAATGAGTTGAATTCTTGAAATAAAATGAATTAATAGTCAAWTAATAATGATATTATCTATCAAGTTACTATTTATTCATATCCAATGAGTAACAATTATTCGCAGAGTTTAAGTACAAGCTAGTCCTGAAAAAATAAAGGGTTGATCGGTACAGATTCTGAATSGGATGAGCTTGAAAGTCCGTACTCCATGCATACCTGGGGCTGGTTGTAAGAGGGTGGGTTAAGTTATCCACCGGATACTAAAGCTATGTACTTCATATATTTTGAATGGTGTTTATTCGCTTTATTCGGATGACATGAACAGCAAAGCAGTTTTGTTTTGTTTTGTTTTTGTTGTTGTTTATTATTATTATTTTTTTTTTTTTGCTTGTTTTTTTTTCTCAAGCAAGTGTTTGAAAACTAGACCARCTCCTTGCTTGGTCAATCATTAATTAAGACCTCGTTAAGTTGCGCTCGATCAGTACTTCACGACCGCGGTCTAGATTTTCTGTTTAGATCGCGCGCTTGGTTAATAAGACTGGTTAAACAACGTTTAATTCCATGATCATTTCAAGTAACAAGGAGTAATTCTGTGATTATTACATGCACCAACCTTCGTACTTCCCACCGACATTTACAGCAGCCCTTCGCTCGATGCCCTCTTCCAAAACCGCTACCTGTTGAATGAAGATATGGTAGTTTGATATGAACTCATGATATACTGAAACGTAATCCTTGTATTAGCCAAATTACTGTAGCCGAAATCTGTTCAGTGGTCAGTATATATCAGTCAATATCGTGCCTTTTCGCCGGAAGAACACTTTCTCATCCAGGCAGTTGCCTTTAACTATACATGGGCGTTTTGATGTTTGAGGGAGAAACAAGTTTCTTGCATTACTMGTTTAACGCCAAAAAAGTCGGGTAAGATCCTATCAGACCGCACTCTATAGTCTAGTAATCTTTACCTTTTTGTTGAATAAGTTGAGGTCTGTCTCTATTTCTCGTGCCAGAGAAGACGTAAAGTTTGCCGTGAGAACAGAGAATGCAACAAGTCCGAGCAGCATCCACAAAACACTAAACAWTCTTGCTGGGACTGACTTGGGTGCAAGATCTCCATATCTGTTTAAAAATTATCTAAATTACTGATGTCATAAAAATGTTGGCAATGTCATTCTTGTTTAAACAATGTCTCTAGAAACTGATTATTACTACTATAGTCTTAAAACAATTTTACATCAAACTCGTTCAAAGAAAATCCTCTAATTTGAATTTTGCACAGCATCAAACAAGGGCTCTGGGGAGTTATGTCTTTGTTTCTCCACGTGAAAATCTCGAGATCAACATAAGGACGGGTAAGGACGTTAATCAAACCGCAGTTCAAATGTCGCTATATCCGACATTGTTGGCAGTACTAGTGATGACGCAAACAAACCCAAAAACTTTGTGGCGATCACCATCATTGACAGACTCACGTAATTACCGTGCCCAGGCCGAAGGTAGGGGGSACGGTCTTAAAATGCAGCAACTTTTATTTCTATTTTTTCCACKTCGCAGTTTAGCGTACTCAGGATCACATTTTGTTCTTTTTCTTTATTTCGCTCTTTTTAACTGAAATATAGTTGTCGTAGTCATGTCTATTTCTTTCCTGTAGATATTTTTCTATTATTATTATTTTTTCTAACGAGCCGTTTTCGTGACGAAAATTCTCTCGTCACTATGTCCTGTAATCCACTTGTAGTAGGCGTTCCTTGCGAATC